TTGCTGCACCATTTCACATTCCTACCAATAGTGTATAATAATTTAAATTTCTCAACATCTGCACAGATACTTATCATGTTTTTATAATAGTCATCCTAACAAGTATGAAGTGTTATCTCATAGTTTTGATTTGCATTTTCCCGATAATTATGTTTAGCATCTTTTCTTATACCTATTGGCCATTTGTATTTTTTCTTTGCAGAAATATCATTTCAAATCCTTTTCCCATTTTTAATTGGTTATTTGGATGCCAGACATTGTGAATTTTACAATCTTGGGTGCGGATATCTTTTTTTTGCATTCCTTTAAATAGTGTTCAATTTTATTGTATTGCACAGTTATGTTACATAAGTCAGATCAGTTGGAAACTTTAAAGGATATCTTTTAAGCTTTCTGAGGACTATACCCAATTCTGTGTGCATTTGGTGCCTTTTTTGCTCTGGTTAGTGAGAATAAGAACTTTAACTAGCCCTGTGAGCTCTGGGAATCCTGTTGTCCCTTGTTATAAATCACTACATAGAAATATGAAATTATGTAGGACTCAACACAAAGCAAACACAAAATTAATAGAAGATGGTGACAAAAAGAGTCACATTAGGTCTAGATGATAAACGGAAATGGAGAGAGAGCATAGCAAATGGAAGACATGATCGTAAATGGATAGCAATCAAAAGGCAAGATGCAATCATGCTATTTCTATGTAAGCATCTCAGAGCAAGAATATAATTATTCTTCTCTATCTCTCTTGGTTCAAGCATTGAGTAGCAGTCAGTGTTGGAAGAATCCTTCAGACCTGTTTCCTCTGGAGAAGAAATATTAGACTCTTGCTAGTTTACAAGCTCTACCAAAAGACTCTACCTGTATAACCTGGAGAAAGAAACTGCACCGTACCCACTGATGACTCACCTTATGATGAGTTGATAACAGCTATTGCTCAATTTGTATTTTATAGGATATATTTAACACTATAGTCAGTATTCAGACCTGAGAAAAGTACTGCCAACAATTCAGGAAGGGGAAGGATGTTGAACTGCAAAGTTTCTGCACTCTGTTAGCCAAGTAGTAGATTTTCAAATACAGGATTAGAAAAATTATTTTGAGCAAAAGGAAAACCACGGTCTCTTCAGATCAGACTAATAGGAAGTTTCCTGGTTTACTCTCATATAAACTAGGGCATTTAAATGTAGAGAGTTTTTTTAAAATGAGAAGGATATATAGAATGAGGAAATTTAATATGAAGTTCTCATCCTTTGCTTTCCACCCTCACTTACAAATCTATGTTAACGTTTTCATTTGGAAATACTTTCCCTATTTAAAGTCTTCGTATTTGCTCTTATAAAGGAAAGTTCATTCTGCCTCTCTTTTAGCATCTTCTTTACCTCTGTGAACAGTAAAAAAAAAAAAAACAAAAACGAGGGAGTTTGTGTTACCTGTTATGACTTGATTTTAGATCTGCCTGCTCAGATTTGATTTGGGGTGAGTCTGTAAGCTGTTATTCTAAGTTTAATAGAACTAGAATTCTGAGTCAATTGCTGTTTCACCCAGAAGCAGAAGATATATATAGACTGTGATACTACAGGATGAGTTGCTCTTGTATAATTACTGCAAAAGATCTGGAACAATCCTTAGCAAATTAAGAGTAAAATAGGAAAAAGTTCAAATTGAAGCATGCTATTGTTTCGACTATGCCAGGATGTTTCATTCATTTAGTAATTACAAAGGCAGATTACTGAACCAATTTGTAAAATAAAGGCTGGCCTTCCAGAAACCACATTTTCTTTCCAAGGTATTTACAAATGAACTTTCTTTTATCAGTAGCCTCCCTTCCCTCAAAAAAGCAAGCATATTGAAAACAAAAATACAAAGTATCAAAGGATATACCAACCCAATTAAAGACAAACAAAAATACTTTCACATCAAAAATCTTTTGATGCATAACTGTTACTACAAGTAAAAGGCCCAAGAGACTCAACCATGTATTTCTAAGCCAACAAAACAAACAAAAATAATGAGCTGAGAAAAGTCTGAAAATGTTCAAACTGTATTCCCAAGACTATATAGATTGACTATTTCATTTTTTTTCCCAAGAAATAAATCTGGGACAACTGGATATCCACACTTTTCTAACTTGTGAGGGAGGAGAGGATATACATTATTCAGTACCTTTTCAAAGAGTTCATAAAAGTTTTATACAGTGTTAAGATACTGAAATTTTAGAAGTTTCTGTTAAAGCGTTTAAGTACCCAAATGCACCCCCTTTCTTCACTGCATGGTGCTATTGAACATTCTGCCCCCTTATCTTCTGGTATTTCCATGACCCTTTCAGTAAACGTTCTTTCTGTCAATGTGTATTTATCTCATCAGTTATGTTCAACTGCATTGTTCTTTCTGCTTGGCCTAGAATATATTCTGTTTTGTTTAGTGAAGGATCTGTTACAAAACTCAAATGAACTAACTTTCCTCCCCAGCTCCCCAGCAGTTGTGAAGGAAATAAAAATTATCTGTGTTTCAATTTCATTCAACTCAGGTCAGTTCAGTGGGCACATTTAAACATTTATTATGTGCTCATCGCTATGTTAAGATAAGCTAGCACACACCAGAGATACCTGTTATGCACAGTGACTTGAGTGCATAATTTCATTTATTCTTACAAAACTTCATCATTTTTTCTCTCTGTTTTATAGATGAGAAGACTAAGACATCACTGTATTTTGTTGTTTCATATGGTTGTTAAGGGAATTAGATTAGAAAATAATCTAGCCTCTATCCTAAGTGTCCAATAAATTTCTGCTACTAAGTTTTTGTAAGTATCCAACTGAATGACCATGCAGAAAATTCAAAGAAATGTCATTTATGATTTTAGCGAATACCAAACATCAACACTATTGCCTGAAGAGGCATTAGGCAGAGGAGAGAGAGGCTCCTATTGTGAGTGGAGCTTACTACACTAATCCATCCGGCAAACCCAGTGTTCTAGAATGTGATTTTCATTTGTTACTATGGATAATTGCAAGTGAATTGAGAATCTTCTGGTCAGGGACCTTGAAAGTTCCTTTAGTACCCCACTTTCATGCTCTTTTGGAAGAATGTACATACCCAAGTCTAGGGAGCTGATTTTACCTTTTTAGACTCTTATAAAGAATTCTCCACTTACTTCGACAAAATATGTTTTATCTCATTACACTTTAGGTCAGGGAACACTTCCTTCAGACATAAATTCATCTTTTCTAGGTTCAGTAAAAAAGGAGCATGACGATACATGGGATTCCTTTTTTTTTTTCCAATAGATTGAGGGGATATAAGTGTTTTTTTATTGTATAATGCTGAAGTCAGGGCTTTTAGTGTACCCATCACCAGAATAGTGCACGATGCACCCAATAGGTAGATTTTTATCCCTCATCCCCTGCCATTCTGCCTGCTTCTTAGTTTCCAATGCCCATTACACCACTTTATGACCATATATAACCATTGTGTAGCTCCCGCTTATAAGCGAGAACATGTGGAATTTGTTTTTCCATTCCTGAGATACCTCACTTAGGCTAATGTTCTTCAGTTCCATCCAAGTTGCTGCAAAAGATATTGTTTCATTCCTTTTTTTGGTACTCCATGGTGTATGTGTGTGTGAGTGTGTGTGTGTGTGTGTGTGTGTGTATACATATATACATAATATATGTATGTATATATATATACACACATACATACCACATTTTCTTTATCCATTCATCAATTGATGGTCACTTAGGTTGATCCCACATCCTTGCTATCTGTGAACTGTGCTGCAATAAACATTTGGGTGCAATTGTCTTTTTCATAAAATGACTTCTATTCCTTTGGGTAGATACTTAGTAGTGGGATTGCTGAATAGAATGGTAGGGGTTTCATAACTAGAAAGGACTTTGGATGAATATCCTCATTTTATAGATGAGGTCCAAAGAATTTATGTCAGAATCTAGAATAAAACTCAGTTTTCTCTATTTTTAGTTTAATGCTCTTTCTACTATTCCATTCTTTCTCCTTAAGGCTAAACAGAGGGCCATAGTCCCCAACTTACTTCCACTCATAGTATTAAAGGCAGCACATTCGTATGTCTACCATAGAACATTCAATAAGTTCCCTGAATACTCGGTATTACCACTTGACAACATTACCATTAAAAAAAAATCCTGGATAAATGAACCTCTCTGACAAAGGTCTACATACATTTAAGAAAATATATAGTAACCAAAACAGCATGGTACTGGCCCAAGAACAGAGACAGAGACCAATGGAACAGGATTGAGAACCCAGATATAAAACCATTCTCATATAGCCATCTCACTAGTGGTTGAAACGGATAGCAGGGAGAGGGGAATAAAGTAGGGATGGATAATAGGTGCCAAAATACAATTAAATAGTTAGATGGAATGAACAATATTTGATAGCACAACAGAGTGACTTATAGTCAACGACAAGTTATGGCATACTTTAAAATAACTGAAAGAGTGGAACTGGAATGGTTCTAATATAAAGAAATGATAAATGCTTGAGGTGATGGATCCCAAATTACCCTGATTTGGTTATTACACATTGTATGCCCATATCAAAACATCACGTGTGTGCTATAAATGTATACAACTATTATGTACACATAATACTTAAAAATAAAAAAATTTAAAAAGATTTTAATAAAAGTTTGCTGTCAAAAGTTTAACTCGTAAAATATTGTTATTGTTTAACTCATGCTCAGAAATCAGAAGACAGTAAGAATAAAAAAAAGAAAAGAGGAACTATCTCATCATGTGAAAATGTGAGACAGCATTCCCTCGTGTCACCTATCAAAGTCTCTCTCTCTCTCTTTTTCCTTCCTGAGGCTTCTATCATTTTTTGTTCTCTCAAAGTCTCTAGGCATAAAATTGATAATATTTTCTATTCAGAAGCCTTCTTAAAGTTCTTTAAAATCCATTGAGATGAAAACATTCACCAAAGAATAAATTTTCTTTTCTTATCAAATCTCTTCCCACCGCATCACTGATGGGTGAGGAGGAAGGTGAGGCGAAGGTCACAACCTCATCCATTGCCGGAGTATGGGCACCTGATTTAAGGGAGCAAAGTTGATCTGAGGTCATCTGAGGGCTATATATTCTTCTTGAAGATCACTATAATTATGAAACCCCTGTCTTGCTACCATGCCTAAAAGAAACTTTAAAGCCCTGAGAGGCTACGATAAGTTTTCCAAAATTCATGGATTGCCTGAAAAAAATATATTTTATTGATTCTACTTTGCTCAAATAAAACCTAACAAGCAGAGAGAAAGAGAAAAGCATTGGTCACTGTTTATTTTCAGGGCTGTTCTACAAACTATGATTTCAAAAGCTCTGACCTGGAAATCATGTTGTCTCAAGGCCTTTTTTGCGGCTTTCTCTCTGTCCTGCCCTCTCTCTAACTCACTGACCTCACGGGTCAGTACACAGCTGTCTTTGCCTGTGGTTTTGCAGTTTTATGGAAGTAGGTTCAGTACACAGCTGTCTTTGCCTGTGGTTCTGCAGTTTTATGGAAGTAGGTTCTTCTTCGTCCTTTCTACCTTTTAGTTATTCTCTGACAGTTCTTACACTAGTCAATCACTTCTTTAAGAGACTATCTATTTTTATTTTCACAATTGTAACATCTATCTTTTTGATCAGTGGAAGAAGGAGTCTTCTGGGTGAAAATAATTTGATGAAGTAAATGCTTTAAAATGTATTTCGCTTATTTCAAGAAAATGTGGGTTGACAACAATGTTAAGGCCCTCTGTCCTCATGGTAATCCCAAAAACACCACATCATCCCCTGCTTGCAGCAATTGTCATGGTGTCTTTGATATTACTTAGCAGAGAAAAGGACAGGCTAACATTCACCCTAATGGGAACACAGCCAGGAACTTTCCAAGGTAACTCACATTCTTAACTCTCAGCAACATAGACCATGTCCTACCTACCAAAATGTTAATATAAAATTAAGTATTTTGCCAAATTAGTGATCTGTTTTTCAGATTCAGATCATTTGCCCTTCATAAAAATAAACAAGATGTGAAGTTCTTTTTAAGTAATCCAAATCATATTAAAACTTTAAAAAAAGAAAATATCACAAACACCTGTAATAGTTATGGAGCTAATCCTTTGACTTATGTATTTAATAAGCCATTCTGAAAATGTGACTGAAGTTCTGAATAATATTGCTTTAAGCTGATAGAAGAGCTATGCATTAAAAACTGTGGCTCTTCCCACCAGAATGTAGGATCAAAAGTCAACAACTGAATCAAAATGCCATTGCCTAAGCTATGGTATCACAGAGGGGGTCATTTGTCAGCCTGGAAGTGGCGGTTCTAAAGAACTTACTGTGTATCTCTCGGCTCTGTTTCAGTTTTAGAGGGCCAAATATCTCTGCTATCATAACAAAATGAATGTTTATGAGTTCCCTTAATGATACCAATGATTTTGTTTATTAAAATTACAGCAGTCAAACTACAACTACAAGCATTGGGTGGCTACTCACAGCCAAGCCCCCACTCCTCTTGTATTTCACCTTTATTTCTTTGCATGCATATTTTACCCAAAACATAAAAAAGTGACCAAAGTGTTTTCAAGTCAGCTGGCTCTGAGAAAAATCCATCAAACAAACAGACCAACAGACAATAAGAGCAGACACAATCACAGCCGTGCATGCTACAAGGATGCTATATAATGACCCGCCTGGATGGCTACATCAGCTCTGCCTATTCCCCACCGTTCCCAGCACAGCAGCTGGGAGGAGCTAAGCAAAATACAAAGCTGTTCCCAGGGTGTCTAACTTAAAACTCTTCAACAGCTTCTCATTTCAGTTAGGACAAAGACCAAGTTCTTTCACAGAGGCGCTAGGTCTGCAGATCAGGCCCTCTGCATTCTCCACTTACTGCAGCCTTCTCAAACCTTTACTTTCTGGGTTCCAGCCACATACCTTCCTTCAGCAACTCCATCTCACAGCCCTCCTGCCACAGGGCTATTGCACGTGAATTTATAGAGGCCTTGGACATCCTCTATCTAGAACATTCCCCAGCCAAGCCTGTTTTCCATTCTTCCTTTGTTCACTCTTTTGATCTCAACTCAGGCATTGTTTCTCAGGGAAGCCCCCTGTGACATCGCAGTCTAGATAGAGTCTTTTGTAATATACTGTCAGAGGCTGATGGGTCTCTCCTTTGCAGTGCTAACTTTAGGTATCATAAACTTATTCTTTGCGTTGTTTGATAAATTCTCTGTCCCCTGTGAAACACATATGAATTTCCATGAATCCTCATTGTATAAGAGAGTGACTGACATGTAAGTGGTAGTAAATAAATATTTGTTAAAAAAAGATAGAAATTAATAATTGGCAAATATAGTAAGAGAGATTTTTCTGGATTTATTCTCATCTAAACTAACCAGTGCTGGTATTTCCTCCTGATAAAGGCCTCTTTGCAGGGGTAAAATTTCCCTAGAAAGTTTCCAGCAAGATCTCAGTTAGAAGCATAATGGGGTTACTGGGTTAATTTCATACAGTTTATTAAATTATTAGCATAGCCACACTTCTAAGAGAAACTAGAAAAAGGATAAAACCCTCATATTTTGTTCTTATGCATTTTATGGGTGATGTCAGTTTTAAAATTTTATGCTTTCTCTTCCCATAGTAGTTAATATTGCTTTTTATACTACCTAGTTTAGAGATGTCTTCGTTCGTTTGGGCTACTATAACAGAATTCCATAAATTGGCTGATAATTCTTTTTTCAAGTTATTCTATTTCTGAGTTTCTTGGGAAATGGTGTAAGTGTATTTAAATACCAACTCAAGAATATCAAATATCAAATGTCATAACTGACAAATTTTAGCCAAATTTAGAAATCTTGCAAGTTCCTTTGAATAGGTGGCAGAAGTTGTAGACAAAACTGACAGGAGACTTCTTTAGAATCCATGCAGCATTCCGTATGAAACCTGTGAGGCCCAAAATTTTATCTCAGATGAAAGAGAAATATAAGACATCCCTCATCCCTGTACTTCCCACTAAAACTGATCTAGGGTTGAAAAAGTACAACAATTTCTGACTCCCAACAGTATTTGGTCTGTACTACTGCCCAGTAATTCTAAATCATGGGAACAGAATCCTACTTCCATAATAATCAGGAACTAGACATATTCCCAAAGTGCTTGTTCCATCTTGGTTACATTTGTCCATAAGATGATACCACCTATAGCTACCCTAAGACTGGGAGTGATTAAAGTGAGCTTATTTTTAATCTTTCCCCACATTTCAAAAATAAATTGCCAATTGTTGAGAGTGAGAGGGAGAGAGAGAGAAAGGGAGAAAAAACCCCTTACAAGTAGGAGTGCAAGCATTACTATCTTTGTGAGGACATCTCTGACTGACCTGCACAGGTGTAGACCTAAGTCCTCCTCTAGGTTCCCAACTACTCCCTTTTAACTTTTCCCAGATTGTATGGGGAAACCACTGCTTGTGTTTGTCTTTCTGCTTACTATGAGCTGTTTGAGAGCAGAAAGCAGATCTTTTCTCTAGAACCTATGATATGTATGATGTTGGCATTTAGTTAATACCAAAGGAATATCATTGGGATGGAAGAAGAAACTTAGACTGAAAACTATCAAGGGATATGACTAAACTTCTTTGGTAATGTTTAATTTAGATAAATAAATTTAAACTCAGTTTAAATTCTTTTCTTTGACTTATAACATTGATTTTGAAAGAGTTACACATTGTTATATCAAGTTTATTTGGCATTAAATTGTCACTGAGAGGTAAACATTCGGCTTGTTGTTGAAATATTCAAATTTCCAACATAGACTTATGCTTTCAGAAAGAATTGAGGAATTGCAAATATATTTTTTCTCTTGTATCTTGAACTATAAAATTGAACTAAATGTAATACTTTCAAATACAATAAAGTCATATAGTTTTGTTAAAACCTTAGTAGCTCAGAGCCTTTACACACTCATCTTTCTTTCTGTGATTTCCTTTGCTTCTCTGTTACCCATCTGGTCACACACAGTATCCTCAAATCATGTAATTTTCTGCCTCTTTGAAGGCTAAGTTTTTCTTTCTTTTTGAAGTCAATTATTTCCATTTATTTTTAAGGAATACGTAAAATATTATGTGGCATGGGATCAAAATAAAGCGGCAGAAGGAATCAGATCTTTCACAGTACTTTACTGTACCGTAGACACTGGACTGATGCTAAACTAAGTAGCTGTAAGATCAACTACTCAGGGAAAGAGGAATCAAAGCACTGCACCGAACCTGTGTCCCTAAGACACAGTAATCGAGGGCATGTTGCCATGGATATTAACAGCTAACGTTCGGAGGTAAGCATTAGGTGGAAAGGATCTAAGAGAGAAGAAGAATTTAATGTGTTCGGTATTTTATTACTGGTAAGTGTGAAAGTGGAAGAAGACTAGTAGTGGTTTTCTGATTAGAGAATTTTTGAGAAAAAATAGTATTTGCGAACTTACTCATTGGAAAACACTGTACATCCCTTATAGTTAAAAAATTGCTTACACATTCAGACTAAGGATTGGTAGCCTTGTTAAAAACAGATCACTTTAATATGGTAGAACAGATGTCTCTGGGGTGAGAATAATTTATGTACTTCCAAGAGACATTCATCTCTGGCAATACTGGCAACAGGAAGAGTGTGAAGGATGATACTTGGAGACAGAGGTTCATATGACAAATAATGGGAAGGTATGTGGAGTAATAAATGTGCTTACACATTTTTAGACAGTGATATGTTCTCCAGAAATCTGAGAATAAATTAACCATTAAGGCTACGTATCTAAAGAGCTTGATACACCGATGCTAATGCTTTTGAGATGTTATGAATCACGAAATTCTTTTAACCCTATATAAATTTTTTTTTATTACTTGCTACTAAACTGCCAAATGTTATAAGCAGGTGGATTATGCTAATGAGTCACACTAAGAACTGTTGTAAACATTTATTTGGAAAATGTGGTAATGCTTCCTTTAGGGGTGAATTGGATTTCTGAATGTGTGAGTAAAAGATAAAGTCTGGATG